TCTTCTTTAAATGGTTGGTAGAATTCCCGTGGGAAGCCATCTGGCCCTGGACTCCTGTTTGTTGGAAGATTTTTGATTATGCTTCAGTTTCCTTCCTGGTTATGGGTCTGTTCAGATTTTCTATTTTTTCCTGTTTCAGTCTTGGTAGTTTATAAGTTTCCAGGAATGCATCCTTTCCTTCCAGATTGCCTAATTTGTTGGCATATAATTGCTCCTAACACATTCCTAAAATTGTCTGTATTTCCTTGCTGTTGGTCATTCATGATTTTATTAATTTGGGTCCTTACTCTTTTCTTTTGGATAATTCTGGCCAGAGGTTTATCGATCTTATTAATTCTTTCAAAGAACCATCTTCTAGTTTCATTGATGTGTTCTACTTCTAGTTTCTATTTTGTTGATTTCTGCTCTAATCTTTATTATATCTCTTCTCCTGCTTGGTTTAGGCTTTGTTTGCTGTTCTTCAGGTCCTTTAGGTGTAAGGTTAACTTGTGTATTCGAGATTTCATTTTTTTTGAGAGGTTTGTATTGCAATGTACTTCCCTCTTGGGACCACCTTTGCTGTATCCCAAAGGTTTTGAACCGATGTGTTTTTATTCTCATTAGTTTCCATGAGTTTTTAAAATTCTTTGATTTCCTGATTGACCCATTCATTCTTTAGCAGGATGCTCGTTAACCTCTAAGTGTTTGATTTCTTTACAACTTTCTTCTTGTGATTGAGTTTCAGTTTCGAAGCACTGTGGTCTGAAAACATGCAGGGAATACGCTGTCTTTTCATATCGGTTGAGACCTGATTTGTGACCTAGTATGTGATGTATTCTGGAGAAAATTCTATGTGCACTTGAGAAGAATGACTATTCTCTTGTTTTAGGATGGAATGTTCCGTATATATCTGTGAAGTCCATCTGGTCCAGTTTGTCATTCAAAGCTCTCGTTTCTTTCTTTCTTTTTTTTTTTTTTTAAAGATTTTATTTATTTATTTGAGAGAGAGAGAGAGAAACAGCACAGGAGGGGAGAAGGTCAGAGGGAGAAGCAGGCTCCCCGCTGAGCAGGGAGCCCGACGTGGGACTCGATCCCAGGACTCCGGGATCATGACCTGAGCCGAAGGCAGTCGCTTAACCAACTGAGCCACCCAGGCACCCGAAAGCTCTTGTTTCTTTATTGATCTTTTGCTTAGATGATTTGTCCATTGCTGTGAGTGGGGTATTGATGTCTCCTATTAATGTATTATCAATATGTTTGTTTATTTTGGTTATTAATTGGTTTATATAATTGGCTGCTCCCTTGTTGGGACTTAGATATTTCTAGTTGTTCGATCTTCTTGTTGGATAGCCCCTTTAAGTATGATATAGTGTCCCTTTTCATCTCTTACTACTATATCTTTGGTTTAAAATCTAATTTGTCTGGGAGGAGGATTGCTACCCAGCTTTCTTTTAAGGTCTGTTAGTTTGGTAAATGGTTTTCCATGCCCTCATTTTCAGTCTGGAGGTGTCTTTAGGTCTAAAATGAGACTCTTCTAGACAGTATATGGATGGTTTTTGCTTTTTTATCCAATCTGATACCCTTGTCTTTTGATTGGAACATTTAGCCCATTTACATTCAGAGTAACTATTGAAAAATATTAATTTAGTGCCATTGTATTGCCTGTAAAGTCCCTGTTTCTGTAGAGTGTCTCTGTTACTTTCTGGTCTATGGTACTCTTGGGGTCTCTCTTCACTTACAGGATCCCCCTTAATATTTCTTGCAGGGCTGGCTCGGTGGTCACATAATCTTTTAGTTTCTGTTTGTCCTGGAAGCTCTTTATCTCTCCTTACATTCTGAATGACAGCCTTGCTAGATAATGAATTCTTGGCTACATGTTCTTCTCATTTAGTACCCTGAATATCTCATACCAGCACTTTCTGGCTTGCCAGGTTTCTGTGGAGTGGTCTGATGTGATTCTGATGTTCCTCTCTCCATATGTAAGGAACCTGCTCTCCCCAGCTGCTCACAGGATAGCTTCTTTTTTTCTAGGATATGCAAGCTTCACTATTACATGTTGGGGTGTTGATCTATTTTTATGGATTTTGGAAGGGGTCCTCTCTGCCTCTTGGATATGAATACTTGTTTCCTTCCTCAGATTAGGGTAGTTCCCAGCTATGATTTGCTTAAATATACCTTCTGTCCCTCTTTCTCTTCCCTCCCACTCAGGCACTGCAGTAATTCTGACATTGGTTCGTTTCAGGGCATCATTAATTGCTCAAAGCCTTTCTTCATGGGCTCTGAGTTGTCTTTCTCTCTTTTCCTCAACTCCCTTCCTTTCCATCAGCCTGTCTTCTAGATGACTTAGTCTCTCTTCTGCCTCATTTACCCTAGCTGTTTGAGCAACCAATTTATACTGCATATTACTCATAGCATTTTTAAGTTTGGCCTGATTAGATCTCATCTCTGCACTTAGAGATTCTGTATTGTCATTTGTGCTTTTTTCAAGCCTAGCTATTAACTTTATAATTGCTATCCTGAATTCCATCTCTGACATCTTATATCCATATCGATTAGCTCTGTGGCAGAGAACATTGCCTCTGGTTCTTTCTTTTGTTGTGAATTCCTACTTCTAGTCATTTTGTACAGAGAAGGCTGGGTGAGCGAATGAATAGAGTCCAAAATAACAACCGTGATCCAAGCAAAATACACCCTAGAAAAATCCAAAGTGGTCAGAAGCCATCACGGAAAAGCAAACAAAACCAAAACGAAATAAAATAATAAAAAAGGGGTGGGGAGAGACTATAAACTTGCAGGGTGGACAAAGCAGGGCGATCTACTTGTTCCTGATCGAATTTCGGTCTGTGTATTAGAAGACACTACATCTCAAAATTGCAAAGAAAGCAAAACTTATATATATGTGTGTGTGTGTGTATACATGTACGTATATATTTATACAATGAAATAAAATTGAATAGAGTGAAAAAAGGACTAAAATGAAGGATATGTCTGTAAAATGTAGATGTAAAAAATAAAAGTTAAAAAGTGACTTAAGAACATAAGTTGGTAAAACAAGAATCTAGTTGAAATGGGAAAAAGTTAAAGAAATGGAAAATGTTAGACTAAAAGATAAATGAATCATGAGAAAACACCTGTAGTGCAATATACTATTTTCCCCTGCTGCTGGAGTTTTACAGTCGTGTGGGATCCATAAAGTTGTAGTCCACGTGTTCTTTCAGTCTGTCTTCTCGGGTGGGGCCTGCTGTGCTGCTTCTCAGGTTTCTTTGTCTGAGTGGAGTTGCCCCACCTCTTGTCAAATTCTTGCCAAATTTTCTATATGAACTTTTAAATTATCTTTTGTGTATCTAAGAATGTGTTATTAGGATAAATTATATTAATTTACTGATTTTGGGAGAATTGATGTTTTTGATGTAGATCCTTCCTATTCATGAATATGGTGTGTCTTTTCCTTTGTTAGTTCTTTTTGTATCCTTCATATTTTTTCTCCTGCCATGGTTTGGTATGTTTTCTGTTAATGTGTTGATATGTATTCTGCTTTTTGTTGTTGTTATAGTTTGAATGTTTTTTGTATATGAACTTGATGTACATGTTTGGCAATTTATAAAATTTTCTTATAGAAAATTCTTTTTTTATATAGAATATGCCATAGGATTCTTGGGTTTTCAAGGTAAAAAATATATGTAAATCATGACCATTTTCACTATATTTTATCTTTATTTAATTGCGTTGACTATTATCACTTGTAAATTTTTCAATAACTGTGGTTGTAGAGCATCCTTATATGCCAGTGGTTCCTCATTAAGTGTGATGCTGGCTTTGGGGTGAGACATTTACATTGTATCATTTTAAGGATGCATCCTCTAAATCCTCTTTTGTTGATGGTTATTACAAATGGGAGGTTATTTTGTAGATACCTGCTCAGTGTTTATTTAAATGATCATAGGGCTTTCCAGAAATATGACTATGATGACATGTCTTAATAGATTTCTTAATATGGGGCTTATTTCTATTCCTAGACTAATCATTAGAAATTCTTTCTCTGTGTCATGGTCTCTTTCTGTGTCAGTAAATATTGGTATTTCCTAAAACATGGTACCTGTTCCTTTTCTCCTTTCAATCTCTTAGGTTTCTCTTTGAGCTCTTTCATTCACCTGGTGGCTTCAGTCAGCTACTGCTAAAATTCTGCAGCTTCCCAAATCTTTATCTTCAACTTAGATTTCTCCTGAGATCTAGGTCATATAACCAGTTGCCATTTTGATATCCCTACATACCTGACCACAGAAACTTCAAACATGCTGTGTCCACGATCTGTGTCTTTTGTGCCCAGTGCACGCCTGTGTCCTTTTTTCCAGTTCCACCTTACAGCACTCGCATCTATGTGGCCGGTTGTTCGGACAGCCTGGTAGGAAAACTCCTCCTTCATCCTTCTCAGAGCAAATTAGTGCCAAATTCTGTTCCTGCTTTTTCTTTTCTTTTTTCTTTTTTCTTTTTAGGATTAGTTCCCTATTCTGTAATCTTATTGCTCTATATCCTTTCACCTCAGGTTTGTCCCCTCTGACTCTCTTAAGCTCTCCCCCCTTTTCCTTCTAGGGGATGACTATTAAAATTCAAATCTGATCACGTAACTTACCTCTTTTTATGGACCCCTCACTATTTACATGCTGTGGTGTAGGAAGTGGGAGGTGCTTACCCTGGGGTAGATATAAGCAACCCTTTGGGATATATGGAGGAAATATTAGGATGCCTTTTACATGCTTTTAATTTGTAAAAACAAAAAACAATGTGAGTACATCACATTTGTTCTTTTGTTGGAGTTCAGTCAAATATTTAACTGCAGAACCACTATAATCAGTTCCTTAAATACCTTTACTGCCTTTATCTCTCACCACAGCCCAGGAGCAGTCACTTCGACATGGCACTGTTTGTGCTTCTGTTAATGTAGAATGTGTTCGTCTTGCTCTTGTGACTTCTGCTATAGCCTCATATTTGTGAGAACAGGGGGTTCACATGGAACAGCTAACATGTTTGGCTCTTCAGGGAAGTGTAACTGGATAGTATAAAGGACAGCTGTTTTCCCCTTTATTACTCTAGTTTATGTTAAACGTGTGTTTAACCTGGTTTATCTAGCGCAGTATTTCAAGTATGTCTTTATACATATGCCTCCATTACCAGATCATACATGCTGAGGAGCAGATTTTTATTTGTCTTTCCATCTCTAGCAACAAGGACAGTTCAAGGTATAAGAGAAACTTTATGATAGTATTTTTAGGAACAAATGAATTAACACAGAAGTAGGAAATTTCTACTGTGGTATCTCTTTACCCCACAGTACAGAGTACAAACCATGGTGTATTTTGTACAACACAAAACACACAGAAGAGAATGAACTCCCAGACTCTGTTCTGATCCAGGCTGATGCCTTGAATCGAGGCATGTGTCATTACAGGAGTTGGTGTCATTTGAGGATGTGGCTGTGAACTTCTCCTGGGAGGAGTGGCAGGACCTGGACGATGCTCAGCGTACCCTGTACAGGGTTGTGATGCTGGAGACATACAGTAGCCTGGTGTCACTGGGTGAGTGGAAGTGTCCTCGTAAGTGTGAGCAGTTTTTTTCTTCATTGGAAAATGTGCAACTGTTCATGAAGTTAAATGCTACTTGGGTTTAAGATTCGAGGCCCAGAGTGTTCACCCTCCAACCAGAGGTTCACCCCTCCAACCAGAGTGTTCACCCCTCCAACCAGAGGTTCACCCCTCCAACCAGAGTGTTCACCCCTCCAACCAGAGTGTTCACCCCTCCAACCAGAGTGTTCACCCCTCCAACCAGTGTTCACCTCTCCAACCAGTGTTCACCCTTCCAACCAGAGTGTTCACCCCTCCAACCAGAGTGTTCACCCCCCAACCAGAGGTTCACCCCTCCAACCAGAGTGTTCACCCTCCAACCAGAGTGTTCCCCCTCCAACCAGTGTTCACCCATCCAACCAGAGTGTTCACCCATCCAACCAGTTTTCACCCCTCCAACCAGAGTGTTCACACCTCCAACCAGAGGTTCACCACTCCAACCAGAGGTTCACCCCTCCAACCAGAGGTTCACACCTCCAACCAGAGGTTCACACCTCCAACCAGAGTGTTCACCCTCCAACCAGAGTGTTCACCCTCCAACCACAGTGTTCACACCTCCAACCAGAGGTTCACACCTCCAACCAGAGGTTCACACCGGCGGCTGTGCTCTTGTCATTCTTCAAAGGCCCTGAAACTTAAGCAGTTTGTTAAAAGTCCCACTGTATTTCTGATCCACAGGGCACTGCATTACCAAACCTGAGGTGATTGTCAAGTTGGAGCAAGGAGCAGAGCCGTGGACTGTAGAGGAAGCCCCAGCCCAGAGCCTCCCAGGTAAGTCCGTGCATACTGGGCAGGGCTCTGGGATGAGGGAAGCACAGCAGATGGTAGCCGTGCTGGGCTGTTTTTTCCCAGGTCCAGACCTTAAGACAGTGAGTCTGCATGTGTCAGACTCATGCATTCTTTACTCTCAAAATATGGCTCTCACACACAAATGTCCCCTTCTTTTTTTAATCACCCTCTATTTTCTTAGACTTACCCAAAATCCAATACCTAGCTGCATCTCTTGGCATTTTTTTTTTTTTTTTTTTTTGGTTTGTTACTTTCTCTAGATTCTTAATGTTCTCCTCTTGTCCATTTTCAAGGACTGTTTGCTTTAAGGCATTTATTCATACATTTGTTTATTCTTTCAGTATGTTAATTGGAAAATTTTAGGCAGTGGTCATTTTCTTGTGCAGATAACAACAGTAATCAAAAAAATGTCCTTTTTATGGAACTTGAAGTTTCTTGAGAGGGAAAATGAAACAAACATATATGTTAAGTAGTGAAGTAAGAACCCTAAAGTATATTTAATGAGGACAAGAGAGAGAAAATTGTGGTGTATTATCATTTGAAGGGTTCTCAGAAGGCAGTTTTAGGGTGATTAAGTATTTACATTGGTAGAGCTTAAATTGAGATGACTACTTTCCATTTCCATATGTCAGTATGAGTGCATACAAAATCTAGACTAGGGGATAGATGTCCATCAGCATATTGGAGATGTAAATTGGGAAATTCTTAACCCTAAACTGCCAGGATTAGAGGAGGTGGCCTCTGGAATTATTAAGAACATGAGAGAAGAAGTCCTGGTGGAAATCTCGTGAACTACAACATCAGAGATCATGAAACTGAGGAGGACCCAGCAAATTCTTCAGCATGGAAAGAGGTGGTTTGTGACATGGTATGAGAAACGAGAGATTGTGGGTCCAGAGCTAATAGGATGAAGAGTTTCAGGATGGGGGACTCAAACTTTGGGATTGGAATCTGAAGTTAGCATGTTTACCTTCTCTTGTGGAAATCATTGTTAGAAAAGAAAAAAGAATGAGAAATGTGTGGGACTCCAGTTTCAGTGGAACTCAAAGACAACTGAAACTCTGAAGTGCAAGATAGAAGTCTAGTCTTCAGAAGCAGTGAATTACCAAGTAGGGATTGTTGTATCATGAAGTGGGGTGAGAATGCCAGGGAATTTTTTTTTTTTTTTTTTTTTTAATCTAAGTAGGAGCTAAAAGGTTTTTCAATGATGGTGGGCATAGTCTGGGTTGTGGAACCTAAATCTTTTATTTTTTAAATTTTTAAATTTTTAAAATTTTTATTTATTTGAGAGAGAGTGAGAGGGAAAGCAATCACAGAGGGTGAGGGAAAAGCAGACTCGCCGCTGAGCAGGGGGCCTGATGTAGGGCTTGATCCCAGGACCCCGGGATCATGACCTGAGCTGAAGGCAGATGCCTAACTGACTGAGGCACCCAGGCGCCCAACCTAAATCTTTTAGACTAGCAGGGAGGAGTTGCACAAAGTGATGAACCAGAGTTTCCTGTACCTGTTATGGTTGTGAGAAGCCAGGGTGTAGGATTTCATTAGGAATTAGGAGAAAGATATCTTTGCCTAGCATGGAGAAGGAGAGAGGATGCCTTTGAGAAACTCCACAGGTGCTCATAGGCACCCCCCAGAGAGGAGTAAAAAAATAAAGAAACGTGGGTGCAAATCCTTGTCCTAAGCAATATCCCCACTTAGGTGACAGACAAATGGTACTCTTCTGCATCCTAAAGTAGCCGATCCAGGAGGATCTTGTCATCTTCAAAGCTGAGTGATGAGAAAAGGCCAAGTACAAGGAGTTATTTGGAGAGAAAAAAGGAAACAGAACAGGAACACAAATGGCAGATGAAAGAATTCAGCCAAAATCCGTGGCTAGGGAAGAGGTGAATATTGTGACCGAATATTTCCTCATGGATCCAAAAAGGAGAAAAGAAACTTAAAAAAGCAAAACCGACAACTAAAACCATGATTTGATGTTAGAGAATCTATTCGTGTAATTTGTTACATCAATTCATTAGAAAGAAAAATCGTATGCTTATCATAATCATACCCATTATTGATTCTTCACAATTCGTATCCTCCTGTGATGGAAAGAAACTGCTTCATTCTTATACAAACATTGCATAAGAAATGCTTAGATGTGGTTCACAGATATGGTTACTTTGTCTCATTTTAGATGTCCAGACTGCAGATGAACTGATTGAGACCCACCAGGAGCATCAGAGCAGACATGTGTGGCAAGTTGGATTTGCCAACGACAAAATGTCAACTAAGGAGAGAACCAACTTGGGAAAACCATTTAATTTGACTGCAGTCTACCTTTCAAACCTGATTATAAATAATGGAAACTGTTCAGGAATGAAGCCAGAGGAGTTTAATGTGTGTCAGAACATGTTTCTCCCTGGTGAGCCTGATGAGATGCATGTTGGAGAGAAGCCTGAGGACCATAATACAACTGGGAAACCCCTCAGGTATGGCGAGCATTGTAGTTTTCATCAGAAGGATCAAATTTTGCAGCCACCTTTTGAATTTGGTGGGCAAGGGAAGGGCTTCAACAAGGAGGCAACCTTCTTTACACATAGCAGTGCTCACATGGGAGAGCCTGCCTATAAATATGATGAATATTGGAGAGCCTGTGACAAGTCAGCTCTCATTGCCCAAGAGAGAACTCACATAGGGGTGGATCACTGTAGATGTAAGGAATGGGAGAACACCTTTTGTGTGAAAACAACACAGTCGAATCTTCATAGAGCTGATTTCGAGGAGCAACACCATAAACGTAATCAAAGTGGGGATAATTTCAGCAAGAAATTACACCTCACTCCACTTTCAAGAACTCAGTTAGGAGAGAAAACTTTTGAATGTGATGTATGTGGCAAAACTTTCTACAAAAAGTCTAATCTCAGTAAACATCAGAAAATACACACAGGAGAGAAACCCTATAAATGCAGTGAGTGTGAGAAAACCTTCCTCAGTAAAACAGTTCTTACAGTACATCGGAGAACTCATACAGGGGAGAAACCCTATGCATGTATCAAATGTGAGAAATCTTTCTGCCATAAGTCACACCTAACTGTTCATCAGAGAACCCACACAGGAGAAAAACCATATGAATGTTATGAATGTGGGAAATCCTTCTCTGTGAAAACCAAACTCACTGTACATCTGAGAACACACACAGGGGAGAAACCCTATGAATGTAATGAGTGTAGGAAATCCTTTTACCAGAAGTCAGCCCTCACTGTGCATCAAAGGATTCACAATAGAGAGACACATCATGAATGCAATGATTGTGGTAAAACCTTCCATAAGAAGTCAGTTCTCATTGCACATCAGAGAACTCACACAGGAGAGAGACCTTATGAATGTAAAGAATGTGGGAAATCCTTTGGCCATCGCCCAGCTCTTACCGTACATCAGAGAAGTCACACAAGAGACAAACCTTATAAATGTAACGAATGTGGGAAATCTTTCTGTGTAAAGCCAAAGCTCACTGTGCATCTGAGACTTCACACAGGTGAGAAACCCTATGAATGTAAGGAATGTGGGAAGACTTTCTACCAGAAATCAAAACTCACTGTACACCAGAGAACTCACACAGGTGAGAAACCTTATAAATGTAATGAATGTTGGAAGACCTTTTGTGAGAAGTCAACTCTCAATAGACATCAGAGAACTCACACAGGAGAGAAACGCTATGGATGTAAAGAATGTAGGAAAGCTTTCTACCAGAAGTCAGCCCTGACTGTGCACCAGAGAACTCACACAGGAGAGAAACCCTATGAGTGTAATGAATGTGGGAAAACCTTCTGTCAGAAATCGCACCTCAACAAACATCAGAGAACTCACACTGGGGAGAAGTCATGTGGGGCAGAGACTGGCTATATGTATACCCAAACTCACTTTCTCTTTGTGTTGGGCACACAGTTAGCCTGCATGTCTCAGCCTCCCTTTACTGTGGGTGGAAGCGTGTAACTGAGCTATGGCCAAGAGATCATGAACACAAATTATGAACATTATTTCCGTGTCTGGCCACAAAAAAAACTTACTTGAGTTTGCTGATTTTTCATTCCTTGTGCTCCTGAAGTGCAGATTACCCGCAGGTTTGTCTTTGCAGCCATAGACGGCAACCATGACTTAAGGCAGAAAGGATTGATTGGGGAGGGCAGAGATCTTCCCAACTCCACCTCAAAAATCTTCACTTGTACTTACCTGAGTGAGAAATATTCACTGTTGAACCCTTCTATGTGTGACCTATTTACAACACTGTGAGTCCATTGTAGCCAGTTCACTTTGAATTTGAGGTAGGCTTCTCTGTGAAGTTACCAGTCATTGTGTAGGAGATTCACATAGGAAAGAACTTGAGTTCACTCCCAAGTGAATGGATGGAAAAAAATCAAAGAAATCATAGGAAGAAAGAAATTCAATAAATGCAGGAATGCCATTATTGGCCAGAGACAGCTCATTGAACACTGAGAATAAAGTAAAACCTTATAAATATCTTGAATGTGTCCAAATTTTCAACAAAATGTCCAACTTTGTGTTTATCAGTGAATTTTTCATGAAGGGAAAACTATCAGGTAATGTGGATAAAAAATTTCAGATAGAAATGACAGATACTGTATTGGAGAAAAATTTTTGAAGACTATAGACCATATGTTCTCTGCTTGGGGTGATTTTGCCTCTAAGGGGGACATTTGGCAATACTATGCCTGGTAAGTAGCACAGTGTCAATTGTGAATTTTTCTATTCAGGGTAGTTATAGGGCCCTGAAGATTCTAAGGGGTGGAGTAATAGACTCCACCTCTTGATGTAAAGGCATCTTACAAAAGAGTATGTGGGATGGGACATAGTAGTGTGGCCATCTTTGGAAAATACAGTAGGACACTATCCACTTTCTGGCCAGAGTTCACATCACTTACACGTGCAAACTCTAACACTCAAAGGATTCTAATTTATAAAGCTGCTTGGCAAAATCTAGGACCTCATCATCTGTATCAGGACCAGGTGCACATAGTCTCTTTGGGCACAGTCCCTTCTGTGTGGTTGCTCTTAATCTGAAGCCATGTGACCTGAAGTGAGCACTTAGGTGCCCTGCACACAACACACAGTGTAGCATGGAGATGGGAGACTCAGTCCACTCAAAGGGGCGGGGAATTGGGAGGCACTTAGCCATCTGTGGTCCACAGAAACTCTGAAGTCTAGCAGGGCACCCCATCAGTTCCTTGATTAGGATGCCGTGGTTCTGGGAATGACTTCCAAAGATTTCTGCACTCAGTCATCTCTCTTCTACAAGACATACCCTGATTTTTTTTTTTTTTTTTTTTTACTAACTAGTCTCCTCAGTTGTATTTCCTGCCCAGAGGGCTCTTTTCATTTGAACTGTCTCTAAACCCTTTATTTCAAATGGATTTAATTCCCTTTAAGAAGTTTTTGTATTTTTGATATATTAAATTATAATCCACTCCATTAGACGAAAGTCATCCCCATACTTCTTCTGGAACAGGATCCACTCTGCCTCAAACTGAGAGTGATGTGGGGACAATGGCCCTAAGATTTGTAAAAGCCCTATTTATCATCTATTGTGAAGATTGACAGGGCACACTCTTAAGAGTCTCAGGGTTAGCAATATCCTTGGTCAGAGATTTACTGAGGCTCCATTTTGCTGATAGTGTCCTGAATGTGATCTTTAGCCAAAAGTCATTTCATACTTTAGGGATCTTTTTTTTCTGTCTGGAGAAGCTGGGAAGGAGGAACAGTTTTATTTTCAAACGTAGGTAGTCCTGGCTCCGTGGTATGTTGTGTAGATTGATCTTTAAGACTGAACAATTTCTTTTAGCTCATCTGTCTCTACCTACACCTTATGGTCAGTGACTCTACCAGCTATAGTTTTTTTTTGTCTCCGCTAGGAACCCACCCTTGGTTGCCTGACTTCGTGATGTTGGGGTTATATTTCTCCTTTTCCAGCTGACACAATCTTTGGGTTTCCAAGGAAAGAGCCTGGAGGGAGATTGCAAGGCTGAGCAGCAAGGATTTTCTTTCTTCTTTGGCAGATATCCATGTGGTTGTGAGCAGGGGTGGGGAAGGTTCCAGTCCTGTTTCTCTGGTCCTGTTTTGCTATCCAGAACTTTAACATGGTGATTCATATTTGAATGTACCTGAAATGCTTCACTTTACCACTAAGCATAAAAGAAGTTACCTTGTATTTGTAGATTTATTTTTTTTACGCAAATAGGTGTTGGATTTTGCCAAAGGCTTTATTCACCTGTTGAAGTAATCATGTGTCCTGTTTCTTTACTGTGAACCAGCTGAAGCTACAAAATTATTTCTAATCATGGGCTTAGCTGAACTTCCATTGTCATGCAGGGGAATATACCACTTTCCAGGAGATACATGAGTTATTTTGATAAGATGTTACCAGTTCATTTATGTCACAGGTCTGATTAACCCCATCTCCGTTAGAAAACTGGGAGGTTGATGCCTAGTGTGTCTCATTTTCCAGGTCATTATTTTTCCGTTCTTCCATAGAAACAGTGCTCTCCAGACTGGGGGCCTGTTTGGACCTCTCTCCATCCCACCATGTTACTGTCCTACCCGGATGTGGGAGGCTTTCAAGAGAAGGAATCTCTTTCTTCTTACATCACTGTATTTGGCTTAGGATCACAGACTCTGATGACCCTTGCTGCCCTTAACTGGGTGAGTGCATTTATGTGCTTTGAAACATACTTTAAAAGCACACAATAGTTTTAGGTGAACTGACTCCCAGGATACTGAGGAATTCTAACATACTATGTTATAGTGACACGTCTCGGTTTTATATTTTGTGCCCACAAGAGTGCAAACTACACTTGGCCTCCAATTATGTTTCTTTTTCTCAGCTAATTGGTGGGGACTGGGCAAGGGATTGACTGGCCGAGACAGCAGCACCTTGCTCATTTTTGGGATTTCTGGGATTCTGTAGAGTCCAGGCCTGAATAAGGAATTGAAACAATCACAGTGTGGGTTTGCAGCACGGGCACCCTTCTGCCTGGAGACCCAGAACTGTGTGTTAAGTCCTAGAAATGAGCAGAGCAGAGACTATGAGGTTAGGGAAGCACTTAGTGAGTCTCGGAGTCCTGCTGCAGGACTCTGGCTGAGGCCAAGAGGAGATGTGGCCAAGGCTTTACCAAGTCTCGGGGGTCAAGGGTCTTGGGCCAAACACTTCCGCCCCTGCACAAACTCAGCTGAGGCGATTGTACTGAAATAGTGCTTTTATTTCTTGAAGTTCTTGGAATATGCTGCAGGGCAGGGGGAGTCCTCCTTGCCTACGAGGGCAAAGGGCCTTGCTTGGTGGGCAGCTCTGGATCTTTCTCCTCGATGACTCCTAGGGGCTTGGGACTGACCTGTGGGAGGTCAGGGTCTGAGGAGGGAAGTCTCCAAGCAACCCTGTGCCCACAGCTCACTGGGACCTGCCCCTTGCCACCCCACCACTGCCAGCCTCTGCACTTTTGTCTTGGCTGTGCCCTGTGAGAACAGACCATCCCCTGAGGACTGTGGTTCCCCTTCCTCGCCTTCCTGTACCCCGCTCCTTCCATGAGCTCTTCTCTGCTCCCTGCCACCTCATTCCAGGACTCACAGGTTCTCCTGGGCCAGCCCCTTCCTCTTGTTTGCTTGGGGTTCGAGCAGGGATCTGCATCCCAAGCTTCTCCAGCTCCTCCTTAAGCCTGGACAGAAAAGGGTGGGGTAGGAGTGTGGGGTCGGGGGAGAGGGTGTGAAGAGACCAGGAGATAAGCTGAAAGGGGAGCGGGGACCCCCTCAGCCACCTTCCCCTTAGGGACTGGGGGCAGGGCCTCCACGCCCACCTCTGCCTCTTCTGCTGCAGCTGCTGGCACTTCTGCTGCAGCTGTTCATGGTGATGTGCAGCAGCCTCCAGGAGCTCCTGGGCCTTCCTGTTCTCCTCTTCAAACAGATGCCTGAGGGTAGGGCCATCAGCAGTGGCGGCTCCCTCCCTCCACCCTGTTCCCTGTCCCCGCCATCCTTATCTTACACTGCAGCTGCAGCCTCCTGGCTGCGGAGAAAAAGCCCCTCAGCAATGGTCGAGCAGCCATCAGCCCCGAATTGGGAACACAGGCGATGCTTCACATCCTCCAGCTTCGCCTCCACAAGCTTCTCTGCAGCAGGAAGGGACAGATGAGCAGAGCAGGGCAGGGCCGGGCCGGGCCGGGCCGGGCCTTCCCATTCTCCAGGCCTCACCTTCCTTGAGCAGTTGCTCCTTGCTGCTGTCCAGGGTGCCAATCTCCCGGGCCATCTGCTCTGGCCTCTGCGTAGGTAGAGAGGAGGCCTGTGCATGTGTCCCAGCCTCCTCCCTTGCACCTCAGAGAAGCCTACCTGGATCTGGTCTCTACTCAGCATGCCTCACTTCCTCCTACCCTGGGTCTCTGGGCGCACGAGGCATGTTCCAGCTTCAGGGCCTTTGTACTGGCCATTTTCTCTCCACCTGGAACTGTCTCACCCCAGACACATGTGATGCTGCACTTGAGAGGCTCGTGAGGTAGTTCATGGATTTTGCAAACTTTGAAATCAGGTCTGAGGCAAGTATTTATTATAGGGGATCCTGAAAACATTACAAATCAGAACTGTTCCCTGGAGAATCAGTCACCAGACCTGAACGGCAGCTCCTCTTCCCTTTGTGTGGCGTTCTCACTGAGCCCCTCCACCCTAACAGCGATTCTCTCTGCCCTTTTATTTGGCACCTGGGATCCTTTGTTTCCCACTACCTGCCCTGTGCCAGTCATGGCTGCAAACACATCCATGGATCTTCCTCATGGATAACCTCTCCTCGGTTCGTCAGGGTTCCTCCTGGCCACTGAAGGGCCAGGGCAATGGGCAGGACCAGTGAAGAGGACGACACCGGGTGGTGGTGAGGGTGGTGTGGGGACTGAGCCAAGATGGTGTGGGCCATCTTGACGTATGACCACCAGCGCTGGCTCAGGAGCTGGGTGTGGCAGGTGAGAGGGAGGAGGCCTGCAGCGTGACCCTGAGCTTTGGGCCTGGGACTTCCAGGGAAGATTGTGGAAGGTGGGAGGAACGGCTTTGAGTGACTCACATGGAACTTCCAGAGGTCCTTGTGCTGGCCCATCAGATCCTCCAGCTGTTCCTCAAAATCCAACCTGTGGACCAACCATACATGATGAGGGGCCATGGGCTGAGACATTCCTCCTCACCTTGGTCTAGGCCAGGGGTCTTCATGCACAGACCTTGGGAGGCTTGCCCATGTTCTTTGCTCTGCAGGAAGTACTTTCACCACCTTGACCCTCCAAGCCTCAGCTCAGCCAGCTCCTCTTCTAACCCCCATCCCCAATATTGCACCCACAACACATCCCAGCACATCACCCCCACCCTGCCTGGTACTGGGCACTGGGCTTTACCTCAGTTGCCTCTGTTTGTTCTTCTCTTCCTCAATCTGAGAGTTCAGGGCAGAAATTCGCTCCTTGCACTCCTGCAGCATGGTCTGCTTCCTGGGAAGAGGCAAGGCAGCTCTCAGTCATATTCTCTGAATGTCTCCCCAAGACAGGGCTGGGGTGGGGCTTCTGCCTCCTCCTGGGGTCTGTTCTGGCTTTCCAGCTCAAGGACCTTCTCTAATAACTTCACGGGGGGAGGGCATGAGCACGTGTCCCCTGGAAATACTGTTGTGAAATCAGGGAGATCACCATGGACAGACACAGTCAGGTGCACAAGCACACACTAACATCAATCTCATTCAAATTTCCCACATAGTTCCAATGTTGGTGGGCTTGGGGACTCTGGTCACACAATGAGCTAAATCAAGGCTCAGGAAGTGGAGAGATGGAGTCACAAATATTGAGGTGGATGGAAAGATAGTAGATGAATGGAAAGACACTGGGTGCCTTGATGCCTAAATGAAGGGACAAATGAGTGAACAGAGACCAAGGAGCTGATTTTAGGAAGAGTGACAGGCATAAATAACAGCTTAAAGCATTTGATATTCTAGCAAGTGAATGATTATCCCAGTGAGTCAGAGTACCGTTAACACTACTGCGTACTGTTGGGGCCAAGGTGGGGGGCCAAGACATGCATCTGGCCTCTCCTTTTTTCAGAGGGAGACACTGACCTGTGGGTCCAGGACTGATTTTCCCTCTTTCTCCTTTCCACCACAATGAAGGGGAAGGGCAGAGCAAGTCCCAGATGGAAGCTCTTACCTCTGTGCCTCACTTTCCTTCTCCTGGCAGTGGAGCCTGAGGATCCTTAGGGTCTCTGCAAGGAGAGGAGCCAAAGGCCCCATGAGAACGCATCAAAGCATCAAGATTGGGCATTGATAATAGGGTCAGATCACGTGTGGTCTTGTGGACACCTGATAGGACTTTGTCATTTACTGCAAGTGTGGTGGAAGCCACAGGAGGGATGCAAGCTAATTCAGGTTCCAAAGGGCTTCGGCTGCTATGGAGAGATTGGCCTCTGCAGGGTGACAAGGGCAAAAGTCTGGAGACAGAGTAGCTTCAGTTACCTTGCTTTTTGTTCAAGATCTCTTTCAGGCGTACTTTCTCTCCACTCACTGGAAAACACAGTAACACAGTCAGGCCTTCGTGTGCATCACTGCACCCTCAGGGAGTGCATTTGCCCCTCACCGCACAGGCAGTTTGGGATAGCTCTACCCCAATCCCAGATGTGGACCCCTTGAGTTGAGGCCCCTCCCCTCTTGAGCCCACTCCCTGTAAGCAGCAGAGGGCCCTGGGGTTGATAAAGGTGACTGTGAGGATCCTGCAGAAGGCCATTGTGTTTACATGGAGGAGAGAGAAAAAACACATCACATGAACTGGTATATGAGCTATGAAGAAACACAAGCAGTAAGGGGAATGTGATCAGGTGGGGACAGGGTGCTGTCTTTAGATGGGATGACTTGGGGGAGGTTTATCTGAGAAGGGGACATTCAAGGTAAGAGCTGATGAGGATGTGTGGCAATAGGAACCTGTACCATCTGGGGGAGAACAGCCTATCAAAGGCCCTGAGGTGGAAGTATGCTTGGAGAGTAATTTGAGAACACTCCTACCCACAGAGTGGGAGATTGGCAGGACCTGATGTTGGAGAGGGGGTAGGAGCCCTTGGCCACAGCAAGAATGCTAGGTGTCCAGAATACTGAGTTCAAGAAGGTATGACACTGAAGACCTCTGGGTGACCCCCAGCATGCTTACATGAGTCCATTTCCCTCTGCAGGGCCTCCCAAACAGTCCGGGCCTCTCCCAACTCCTCACTGGCTTTCTTTTTTGCTGTGCCAAAAAGCAGAACAATGTAAGTGCAGCCTCCAACTGCATTATTCCTTGCAAACAGTGACGTTTTTCATTTGTCTTCCAGGAAATCTGGGTTGGGGGACAGATTTTAAAGCAAGAAACCAGGCTTCTAGAACACAAGCCTTTCTTGTTGGGCTCAGTTGACAGCACCACCAGGTTCATGGACATGTGACTATAGCAGATGCATTTACATGGACCCATCCTTGGTTTTAATGATGTGCTGCTGCTGTCATGAACTACTCAGTAATCTTTTAACAAGGAGCCCTGCAAATCATGTAGCTGGTTCCGGAGCTCACCTTGCTGAACCTCATTAATCCGATTAATCAGGACTTCAACCCTGGGCTCTAGGCTTCCCGCTGCAGGAAGGAAAGGAAGTTGAGTGGAGATGACAGGGCAGGTAGAGGGATTTGGGGGCCCTACAGGGACTCTCATTCTGGGTAGGGGAGACAAGGTAAAAAAGAAATAGAGATACTGAGTCAGGCTATAGTAATTGCAGCCAATAAAAACATAGAGGGGCAAGGAATTAAAAAGTGAAGGAGTGGGGCATGCTCTTCGGATATGGGAAGACCTCTTAAGGGCCCCAAATCACTGGGAGGGCAGTTCCTGGGTGGGGTGGGAGGTAGTCAGTGTAAAGGCCTGCCCTGAGGTGGGAATGTGGCTGGAAGGAGGCTGGTAAGCAGCAAGCAGAGAGCAGCAGAGCTAAGGTGGAGGGAAGGGCGGTGAAGGTGAAAACCTGGATTTAAATGAATACAGTTGGAGCCAAATGGGTGGCTAGCAAGGGGGTTTGGGGAAAATTTCTCGCCCTCCATCCCCTCATAATTCAATTTTGAATCATGGCGCTGTATTTTTGCTTCAAAGAATTAAGTTTTAAAAGAGAGAGCAAATGAATTAATGTCCCAAGGTTGTGAATTGTGAGGCCTGGAACTGAATCCACTTCTGCCTTATCCCAAAGCTCAGGCTG